GTCTTGATCTTTTTTCATGTTTTGGATTTTTCTTTTACGTTTCTTAGCATCTTAAGCCTCTTTATTTTATAGTATATGTCTGATAATTCTATCTGAAGTTTGGGGCCATCTGCTTCTGTAATTTGTTATATCTGCTGGTTCTCACTCATGGTTCATTGTTTCCTCACATGTGTTGAAATTATGGCTTGTGAGATCATCTTCAAAAGGGCTTTATCTACTGGAAATCCATGTGGCCTTTTCGAGGGTATGACCTTGGAGAGTGATTTTCCTTGGCTTCTGCCTCTCTTCTTTCTTTCTTTCTTTTCTTTTCTTTTTTTTTTTGTCTTATTAAGGGGGAGGTAATTAGGTTTATTTATGTGTTTTTGAAATATTATCATTTTTTTAGTAGTTGGAAATGTATTTGTTTCTTAGGCTACTGTCACAAATGACTCCAAACTAGGAGGCTTAAAATAACACACATTAATTTTCTTACATTTTGGAAATCAGAAGTTTGAAGTTAGTTTCACTGGACTGAAATCAAGGTGTTAGCAGGGCTGCACTCCACACCCGCTTCCCCCGCCCGCCCTGGGGCTGTAGGGAAGAATCAATTTCCTTGTCTTTTCCAGTTTCTAGAGCTGCATTCCTTGCATTCCTTGGCTCTGCCTCTTCCTCCAACTTCAAAGCCCACAGCTTGGCGTCTTGCTTCTGTGTTACATTGTCTCTGTTTCTGGCCTGCTGTCGAATCTCTCTCTTACTTAGGAGGACACTTGTGATTATATTTAGGGCACCCAGGTAGCTCAAGAACCTTAACTTCATCACACCTGCAAATTCCCTTTTGCCATATGTAGAAGGAAAATAAAAATGGAGTCAGTATTGCTAAAAGAGCTCTCTCAAATGGAAATGGGAGGCTAGGTCACCTAGGAAGTATCACTTATGCACATCCCAGGCTTGATGGAATCTGACCTTTTGACCACTTACTGTCTTAACATAGACACCCAGAACAACTGCCAAAAATGCAAGATACTTATTGGACCCTTACCCTAAAACTCATGACAGATTATCTATTTATGGGACACTTACCCTAAAATAACTCTTGATTGCCTAAGGACAAGTATCCCCTGGCTTGCATCAGAGTCAATGAGGATTCTTGCCAGACAACTTTAACAACCTTGTGCTTTTGTCTTTTTGCTTTTGTTTGTTTGTTGGATTTTTTCCTTATAAGCCCCTGACTCTCTTCCCTGGAGCACTCCTTCAGTTTTACAGGAAATTGTGTCTCCTGAATTGCAATTCTTAAGACTCCAAATAAACTTTTCTTATCTGCAGCCTTCTGTGTTTTGTTTTGCCTTTGGTTGACACGTATAATGGAACCTTCATAGGTTCCAGGGATCAGGGCCTGGAGATCTCTGGGGAAGATACCTAGGGAGTATTCCTATTTAAATAGAGTGGTCAGGGAAAGTCCTTGCTGGAGAAAGGACCTGGAAGAGGGAGACAAGGGAGAAAGCCACGCAGAGAGGGAAAAGCCTTCCAGACAAGAGGGAACAGCAACTACATAGACCAGGAGGAAGGAGGAGTCATTGCTAAGATTGGTTCTCAATCACCCCTGCCACCTGGTATTTTTTGGCTTTTTTTTTTAAGGTGTGTGTTGAGGGAAGTAATTAGGTTTACTTATTTATTTTTAGAGGCAGTACTGGGGACTGAACCCAGGATCTTGTGCATGTACTCTACCGCTTGAGCTATACCTTCCCCACTCCCTCCTGGTATTCACACCCTTGAGTAGCCCCTTCCCTTGATCATAAGCTGGATGTAGTGATGTGTTCAAAGGAATGGAATACACATGGCCCTCGTTATCCGCAGGTTCTGGTCAATCAACGGCAGATTGAAATACAGTCATCCCTTGGTATAAGCGGGAAGATTGGTTCTGGACTGCTGCGGATACCAAAATCTGCGGATACTGAAGTCTCTCATATAAAATGTCGTAGTACAGTTTGCCCTCTGTGTCCTCGGGTTCCGAATCCGCGGATACAGAGGGCAGACTGTGAGGGACTTGAGCGTATATTCATTGAGCCCCTACTCTACATACCCTGTACTGGGTGGTAAAAGGCATACAGCGGTGACCAAGACAGTTTCAGCCCTGCCCTCCTGCCGCTTACAGTCCGGTGGGGGAGACAGAATCATCCCCAGATAATGAGGACCCAGAGTGGGCAGGGCTGGGATGGGGGCTGAGCCAGTTAGTGAGGTTGCTGACGTGACTCTGAGCCTTAAGAGATGCCACAGAAATGCTCCTTGCAGTGCCATGTACAAGGAGACAAACTGGGAAGAGCAAATACATGTGACGTCAGGTGGTTGGGAGTTAATCTTGGTGTCTTCTATTTCAGAGAAGTTTGTGTTCCCCATGTCGCACTCCAGCAGCATCATGCTGCTTACTCCTCTGGTTTCTACTTGCCTCCAATGGTGTCCTTTTTGCCTGCAGCGTCGTCTCCCCCACCTTATCCTATCTCACTCCTGCTCCTCACCTTCAGTTCTCAAAGAGACAACTCCTCCAGGAAGCCCTCCCTGATCCCCCAGACTGGATCAGGAACCCTCTCTGGCCTCCCACATTCTAGCCCTGGCTACCTTGTTAAAGTAGGGGGGAAAGGAGGGAGGAAATCTTAATATCTAGAATATAATAGGATGAAACTTAGTATGTATTCGCTACTCAGATAATCTGAACAGATGCAGGAAGACCGAATCCCGTTGAGTGGGATCGATTCTCTCTGTTCTCTTCCTTTCATGTTTTGTTCTTGGTACTCGGTGATCCTCAGCTATGCCTTCGGCACCACCTCTCCCGGAGCCCGCCCCCCTACCCCTGCTTTTCCGTGCGCACGCGTATTATCCCGATTTACGTCGCCCCCCGGAGTGACGGGAGGAATCAACCAATGGCGTCGTGACGAAGGTTGAAGTAGCCCCCTCGCGGTTGCCCCGCGGATCCTGCCTTTACTGAATATTCATGAAGGAGGCGGGTCCACGCTGCTTCAAGCCCCGACCGGCGCCATGAAGTGAGAGGGGACCTGGGGTTTGCAGCTAGCGAGCGGGCGCGGGGGTCTAGAAGATGCGGGGACCCGTGGGCACGCTTCGGGTCCCAGCGGGACGAGAGGAGGCTGAAGCGGTGGGGTGGGGGTAGCCGCGGTAACGGGGCGGTAATGGGGATGGTCTGCGGTGAGATGCCAAAAGGACTCGGAGGCTCGGGGGAAACGGGAGGATATCCGGGACGACCAGCAGGCTGGTTCTGGGCCTGTAACCTCTCTTGGCCCGACGACAGGGGAGTGTGGGGGCTGGAGAGGGGCTGAGGGGACGGGGGACTGACCCGGCAGCCCCCGCCGCCAGGCTCAACGTGGACGGGCTGCTGGTCCATTTCCCATACGACTACATCTACCCGGAGCAGTTCTCCTACATGCTGGAGCTCAAACGCACGCTGGATGCCAAGGTGGGTGGGTCGCGCCCGCTGCTGCCCACCTGACAGGGCTGCCACACGTGCGTCTAAGACTGAGATTGCAGGACGTCTAGCGTTTAGCAATGAGGTCTTTGGGAAGCCAGCACTGCCAAACTTCCTGATGTGTGAAATAATAACAGGTAATAATAACAGCAGCAGCCAACATTTATCAGAGACTGAGCTGCTCAGTAGTTTGGTTAGGAATACATAGACTTTGGAGTTGGCTGCATGGATTGGAATCCTGGATCCACAGCTGTGTGCCCTTGAGTAAATTACTTAATATCCCAGTTTCACAGTTTTCACCTTTATAAAATGGGCATAGTAATAATACCTACCTTGGAGATTAATATGAGGGCTGTATGGGTTAATTCACTAAGTCAGGCAGCGGTTCTTAACTGGGGACCATTTTTGACCCCCAGAGGACATTTGGCAATGCTTGGAGACATTCCTGGTTGTCCTGCTAGTGGAGTGGGGGCTGCTACTGGCATCTCGTAGGTAGAGGCCATGGATGCTGCTAAACTTACGGTGCACGACCGAGTATTATCTGGCCCCAAATGTCAAGTGAGCCGAGGTTGAGAAACCCTAGTGTAAGACAGTGCCAGACACAGAGTAAGTGCTGTGGAGGTGCTTGCTAAATTAAAAGAAAGAGGGCTCACTACCTGTCAGATACTATGCTAAATATTTAGGCCCCAGTTTCTCACTAGTCCTCATAGTCATGCTATGAAGAAGAGCTTATTAGGGCCATTTTAGAGCTGAAGGGTAGGGGTGGATATAGCTCAATGGTAGAGCTAGCATGCATGACGTCCTGGGTTCAATCCTCAGTACCTCCATTAAAAAAGAAAAAAAAAGTAAAAAGAAAAAACAAACCTTAAAAAAAAAAAAGAGAGAGGGTACTGACACCCAGAAAAGCGAAGGCACTTGCCTAAGACCACTCAATAAAAGCAGAAATGGGGTTCAAGTCCACTACCCCTGGGTCCCAGACTTTAAACTGCTGTGTTGTCCTGCTTTTCCAAGACAGCATTCCTGGGGGTGAGGGGGTGGTCCCCAGGGTTTGTGTCCCTGAAGTTCTGAGAACCTGTGCCTTGTCCCTCCTGCCCCCAACACACAGGGTCATGGAGTCCTGGAGATGCCCTCAGGCACTGGGAAGACAGTGTCCCTGTTGGCCCTGATTATAGCATACCAGCGGGTAAGTGACCTGCTGGGCCCTTGGAGGGAGAAGGGGGAAGAGGCTGGACAGGGGCTGAGGCTGAGCGCATTGTTGTCTGCAGGCATATCCACTGGAGGTGACTAAACTCATCTACTGCTCGAGGACTGTACCTGAGATTGAGAAGGTGAGCCGGGCCCAACCCCATTGCTTCCCCACTCTCCCCTAACTCGTTGTTCCCAGGTGGTTGCCGTTGTAGCTTTGAGGGTGTTTGGAAAGCTGGGGAAGGGGCTGGGGCCTGGCTGGGCAGGAGCTTGTGCTTTCAGTGAGGCCAAGTCCCCTCTCCCTTCTCAACTGGAACAGGTGATTGAAGAGCTTCGAAAGTTGCTTAGCTTCTATGAGAAGCAGGAGGGCGAGAAGCTGCCGTTTCTGGGGCTGGCTCTGAGCTCCCGGAAGAACCTGTGTATTCATCCTGAGGTGAGTGTTCCTTCCTCCCCTTGCCCTCATCCTCAGGGTTGAGAAAACTCTTCCACCCAACCAGGAGTCCTAAATCCCCAGAAGAGACCTCTCAAGGGGATATGCGTGGGCCGCACAATTTCTCTTCTCACTCATCAAATGCTGACTCACGCATGGTTCATGGCCCAGGCAAGCACACCTCCTCCAGGGAGCCTTCCCATTTCCCCTAACCTGGCATAGGTGAAAAAGGCAGCCCCTGGAGTCTGGCAGGTCTGGTTTCTTGGCCTTGAAATGTACTAGCCAGATACTCTTGCATAGGTGATTTCTGCTGTCTGGGCTTCAGTCCTCCTTTCTGTAAAATGGGGATAATGAATTACCTGCTTCGTATAGTTGTTGATAAAAGATTGGGCATGGGCTGTTGAGGGCTGGGTTAAATGGATGAAGGTACACCCATTAGTACAGACTTCCAGTTATGAAATAAAATGAGTCATGGGGAGGTAACGTACAGTTGGCACTCCATCCCTGTGGATTTGGAACCTGCGGATAGGAAGGGCTGACTGTGCTATGCCGTTTTATATAAAGGACTTGAACGTCTGTAGTTTTTGGTATCTGTGGGGTGGACCTAGAACCAATCCCCCTTGGATCCTGAGGGACAACTCTACTGCGTGCTGCCTGTAGCTCATAATTCTTTGTTGTATATTTGAAAGTTTCTAAGAGGGTAGGGTTTTGGGTTTTTTTTTTAAAGTTTCATTCAAACTTTATTTCAAGCACTTTGACGTAATGAGGAACTCTACTACTCTGTGTGGTGTGCCAGTAAGTGTTTGACAGCTGGCTGACTGGGTCTCCAGGAAAAAAAAAAAGTATCCATGTACATACATACATAATTTATAAATTCTACTGATAAAAAGAATAGGTAGCAGACAACTTACAAATAATAGTGAAACACAATACAATATTGTCAATTCCATGTAGCCAGTTGTTTCTCACAGACTGCTTTTATTGATTTTTGCTAAATTTTTATATCTATAGTTAACTTATGAGTATAGTTCTGACATGAATGTTGCCTGATAGTTTTATGTTTTTTTTTAATTGATGTGTAGCTCATTTACAATGTAGTGTTAGTTTCTGGTGTATAGCATAGTGATTCAGTGATACAGATATATGCATTTTCATATTCTTTTTTGGTTATAGTTTATTACAAGCTATTGAATATAGTTCCCTGTGCTATACAGTAGGACCTTGTTTATATCTATTTTATATATAGTAGTTAGTATCTGCTAATCCCAAACTCCTAGTCTACCCCACCTCCGTTCCCCTTCTGTAACCATAAGTTTGTTTTGTGAGTCTGTTTCTGTTTTGTAAATAAGTTCATTTGTATCATTTTTTTAAGGTTCCACGTACAAGTGATATCATGTGATATTTGTCTTTGTCTGATTTACTTCACTTAGTGTGATAATCTCTAGGTCCATCCATGTTGCTGCAAATAGTATTATTTCATTCTCTTTTATGGCTGAGTAGTGTTCCATTGTATATATAAGTACACCACAACTTCTTTATACAGTCACCTGTCCATGGAAATTTAGGTTGCTTCCATGTATGAAAGTAGACCTTAAAAGTTCTCATGATAAGAAAAAAAATTGTAACTATGTGTGGTGATGAATGTTAACTAGACTTAACTGTGGTGGTCATTTCTTTATATCTACAAGTATTGAGTCATGTTATATACTTGAAACTAACATACACTGTTGTATGTCAGTTACATCTCATCAATAATAATAAAAAAAAAGATTGAGCGAGATAATGCATGCATAGCCCTTACCGTATATGAAGAGCTAAAAGAATATTAGAAATGATAGTGCTATTAATGTGTATATTGGCATATGATACCTAGAATATTAGTTGTTATTCAATTATGTTCCAAAACCATTGGGCTTACTATGTACCAGACACTGTTTTAACTGCTTTACGTGGGGTAACTCTTGGAATATATATTGTGTAACATTATTTGTGAGAATTTACGAGAAATGATACAGATGATGGATAGTAATTAAAGCAAAGTGGCCCTCCCAGCACTGTGTTTAAACCTGCGGATGAGAATTTTCCCCATTCTTGGTTATGCTGTAGTGCCAAAAAATCCCTGCCTCTTCCTTGCTGCACAGCTGACTTCGCGTCATTCTGCTGTTGCTACGTGGAGTTCAGGAACATAACTATATTCAGCCTTTGTTATCTGATAGCAAGGATGACTGGGATATATGAAAGCCTCCACAGGCTCTGGAGCAAAATGTCAAGATCTTTTCTTTGAAATAAAATAGAGCCATCAATTAAGAGGTAGCGCGTAGTAAATGGACATTATGTGTGTGCCCAGAACACTTTTACGTGGTGGTTCTGTCCCCCTTAGGAAAGTAAGAAATAGAAAATGGATGAAATGGGTTAGGTTTTCTGGGAATGTGATAAGACGGCATAAGCAAATTTACACTGTATTTCAGGAAGGATCTTGGTTGTCTCCAGAGATGTATAGTGATCTGGGAAATGCTAAAGATTGGGACAGGCATTTTTCCATCTCAGTGCTGTTCCTCCATATGCCTGCTATCTTGGAAGGACTTAAAAGTGTAGCTAATGGTCTTCGTTTGAGCTGACTTGAGCTCTTCAAAATAGATTTGCAGCTGAGTCTCTGCTTCAAACTTAGTTAAAACTTTCCAAGTTTTAGAATACCTTTCTGTGGGAGCATCCGTGACACTTTTAACCTGTGTACCTTGCATGACGTATTTGTATTACCTATCTCTAAAAATTAACACGTAAAGGTATTTAACAAAAAGAGAGAGAAGTAGCACAGGTCTTAGTGAGAGAGGAAATGGGAAAGGGAGAGGGAAGGGTAGGAGCCTCAGAGGCTTCGCTTTGCTGAGGGAAGAGGCTTTGTTCTGAGGAAAGGCATCCTTGGGCTGTGATGGGGCCACCAGCAGGGCCCAGGCAAGGCAGGTTCTCAGACTGAGATCAGAACCTCCTCTGTTGCTTGGACCTTGCCAGGGTTCTGGCTGTTTTAGCATTTTAAAAGATAGAGCACTTCTTTCTTTCTTTTTTTCTTTTTTTGATTAAGGTTCTTTGTTTTGACTCTGGAAATATTCCCAAGAGTAAAAGGAGACATTGACTAAGTTACAGTAGAACAGACAATGTGTTTAGCTATGTATTCGAGTACACAAAATTGAATTTCTTTCCTTCGGATAGTTTTATAGTCACATTACTGAGAATAGTTCTGTCCCTGAAATAGCCATATACAATTTTTCCTATTTTTTTAAACTTTTATTCTGGTTACTGATATTAAACAGTTGATAAGAGAACTCACGTTGTATCTTTTTTTTTAATTGAGTTATAGTCAGTTTATAATGTGTCGATTTCTGGTGTAGAGCATAATTTTTTCAGTTATACATGAACATATATTTATTCATTGTCACATTCTTTTCACCAGGAGCTACCACAAGATCTTGCATATATTTCCCTGTGCTGTACAGTATAATCTTGTTTATCTATTCTATATATACCTGGCAGTATCTACAAATTTCGAACTCCCAGTCTGTGCCTTCCCACCCACCTCCCCCTAATAGAGCAGTTATCTTTAAATCTACATGCTAAAGAATCTTCAAGGCTTAATGTTTTTTCAATTGAGATGTCACTGACATTATATAGGGCTTAACGTTTTAAAAATAATAATTTAAAGGGGAAATGTATAGCTCAGTGGTAGGGTGTATGCCTAGCATGCACAAAGTCCTAGGTTCAATTCCAGTGCCTCCATTAAAGATAAATAAATAAAAGCCTAATTACTTCCCCCCTAAATAAACAATTTTAAAAATAATAATAATAATAATTTAAGAGCCTAACAATTGTACCATTCTTGTATCCCTGTACTGAGTTTCCAGATGTCTTAACTGTTTAAAAATGAAGCAGGTTGAGGCTCATGTTTTCCAAAAATGCCAGAGTCTCACCCCTCCCAGACTGACCGGCGGCCTCCCATTCCACCTAGCCATTAGGTGTTGAGTGGTCGGGTTTCTTGGCCTCTCTCGCTGCTAAGATGCTCCCTGGCCCCCCAGGTGACGCCCCTGCGCTTTGGGAAGGATGTTGATGGAAAATGCCACAGCCTCACGGCCTCCTACGTGCGGGCGCAATACCAGCAGGACCACAGCCTGCCCCACTGCCGCTTCTACGAGGTGCCTGCGGGGGGCAGTGAGGAGGGAGGCAGGAAGGGAGGGCGAGGCCGCTTGTAACAGCCAACCTCCCTGACCCCCATGTACCCTCTCACCCCAGGAATTTGATGTGCATGGGCGCCAGGTGCCCCTCCCTGCCGGCATCTACAACCTGGACGACCTGAAGGCCCTGGGACGGCGCCAGGGCTGGTGCCCATACTTCCTTGCTCGATACTCAGTGAGGAGGCCGGCAGGGTTGGGCAGACGGGAATGTGAGGGTTGCAGGCTGCCTGCCCATCTGTCTGTCTATCTGCCTAGTCTGTTTGTCAGTCTGTCTCTATCCATTTGCTTATATTCGTGCCTTGTCTCTGGCCTCGCCTCGTCTCTGCCTGCCTGTCTGTGTCTGTCTATCTGCCTCTGTCTCTTTCCTCGCCTCTGTGGGCCTGTGAGGGAGCTACGTGGTAGTGTTGTATGGAGGTGGGGCGTCAGGGCCCTGGGGTGGGCGTTGGCAGGTGGACTGGGGTAACCCTGCCCCCCTCGGCCCCCAGATCCTGCATGCCAACGTGGTGGTTTACAGCTACCACTACCTCCTGGACCCCAAGATCGCAGACCTGGTGTCCAAGGAGTTGGCCCGCAAGGCTGTCGTAGTCTTTGATGAGGCCCACAACATTGGTAAGGAGGGAGCCAGGGTGGGGAGCCGATGCCAGCCCCTCAGGCTGCCACTCTGTCCACCTGGCTGAGCCCGGCTCTCTTCCTCTTCCTTTCTAGACAATGTCTGCATTGACTCCATGAGTGTCAACCTCACCCGCCGGACCCTGGATCGGTGCCAGGGCAACCTGGAGACCCTGCAGAAGACAGTGCTCAGGTGGGGGTGCTGGCGACTGGTAGACCCTGGTGTCTGTCCTGCCCCCTCCATCCGCCCTGACCTCTCCCAAGTCCCTGTTTTCTGCCTGACCTGCCTTCCCCCCAGAATACCAGCACCAAGCCGGTGTCCCCCAAGTGAGCCCAGCTCTTCCCACATCCCGTCTCCCCACAGGATCAAGGAGACGGACGCGCAGCGTCTGCGGGAGGAGTACCGGCGCTTGGTGGAGGGGCTGCGGGAGGCCAGCGCCGCCAGGGAGACCGACGCCCACCTGGCCAACCCCGTGCTGCCCGACGAGGTGCTACAGGGTGAGCCGCCGCCTGCCTGCGGCCACTCCCCCCACCCAGTCCACCCGGAGGCCCCAGACGGCTGACCCCTTCTCCCCACAGAGGCGGTGCCTGGCTCCATCCGCACAGCTGAGCACTTCCTGGGCTTCCTGCGGCGGCTGCTGGAGTATGTCAAGTGGCGGCTGCGTGTGCAGCACGTGGTGCAGGAGAGCCCGCCCGCCTTCCTGAGCGGCCTGGCCCAGCGCGTCTGCATCCAGCGCAAGCCCCTCAGGTGCGCCCGAGCAGCTGGGCTGGGCCCTGCCGGGGGTCGGGGGGGATTGGGGCAGGCTCCGAGTGCTCGCCCAGCTTGTCCCCTGAGCCCGTGTCCTGGGGTCACCATGTAGCCGGCATCAGGAATAAAGGAAGAAGGGGGGGGTGGGGGCACGTATGCACAGTAGGTCAGAGCCCGCAGGTCCAGAGGCAAGATTGGAGCTGGTCTTGGGGCCCTGTGTTGGGCAGGGGCCTGGCAGGCAGCCCATGGCTTGATCAGATAATTTACCCGGGGAGAACTTGATGGAGGGGCTGTTTACAGAGGGGCGGGCAGGATGGAGGAACTGATGGGGTGGCGAGGCCCCTGGCTCTTCCCAGAGCTCAGAAGTGTTTCCACCCAGGGCTGCAGGGGTAGTGGAGGGAGCTGCCCTGGAGAGGGGCTCCTGACCAGGTGCAGAGAGTTGGAACTGGGAGAACATGCTGTGAAACACTCCCCCGGCTCCAGTCTCCCCCAGCCAGTGCCTCACATTATCCCCCCAAGGCAGGAGTATTCCCTCAGTGCAGTTTGGGGTGGGGTGGGTCAGTCTCCCCATCACAGAACAGACAATGAATGGACCTGAGTGTGAAGGTGGAGTTTCCTGTGCTTTTCCTGTGCTGTTTTGCATAAGTCATTGGTCTTCTCTGAACCTCAGTTTCCTCCTTTGTAAAATGAGTAGGGGGTCAATCCCTTTACTCCCAGATTTCTGTGGTGGTTAAATGAGAAAGCAGCAACACCGGTAACTTACTGGGTCTTGAGCACTAGTGCAGAGCTAAGTGCTTTATGTTCCATATGGAACAGAACCGTAATACAGTGTCCTTGCCTTGTGCTGCTGTTGAGGATGCTGTGTTCCAGAGAGGGGAAGCCATTGCCACACAGCCCTGCGCAGGGTAGTTGTGACTCAGGTCTGTGGGGCTCTGAAGCTCCTGGCTGCTCTGCCTCTGAGGGGGTGGGGCAGCCCACAGTGTGGCTTCGCCTTTCTCCCCACTAACGGGAGACTTGTGAGGACAGAGGGGATCTTAGCCACGTGACACTTGTGCCCTGAGTGCCTGCTCTGTGATAGGGACACAGTTGGTGACTGAGAGCCCTGGCCCTGCCCTCCTGGAGCTCACAATCTAGGTGGGGAGACAGCCCGTCCCAGACAGGGATGCCCCAGGCTGGGGTGGGGGGGTCCTGGAGGCTGAGGGAATGCAGAGGGGGCACCTGATGGAGCCTTGTGGGTAGAGAGGACAAACTTGGAAGGACGTTCAGGAGGCAGGTTTTAAACTTGACCGTCTGCCTGGCTTCAATGCCCAGTGCTATTCCTCTATGACCCATCCCTGAAGGGTGGGAGCCTCAAGCCAGCCTGCGTGACCTTGTGTGTCCATGATGCTGTTGACATTGTGTGGAAGGTTCTGTAAGGCTGTGCAAGATTGTCCTGTGTGAGTGTGTGGGACTCTGATGCTGTGTGTGTCACCAAGGGTGGTGGGTGTGACTGAGACATTGGGAGAGGTTCTGGGCCTGAATATATGACTACATGGCTGTGCAGGAGTCACACTGTGACTGTGGGATTCTGGGGGTGGCCGTGGGTCTCTGGTTTTGGCTGAGAACCTGCGTT